AATTCATAACTCGGGGTTCAGAGATGCTAGAAAGCTGAAATTTTAAGGCAATGTTCCCCGTGCAAGTAGGTGCTAATAGGCTCAAATCCAGACCCTGGGTAAGCGTGGTACCCGCGTACGAGCCCCCAAAATTTTTCGCGTGTAAATTCATAACTCGGGGTTCCGAGATGCTGGAAAGCTGATATATTAGGGGAGTGTTCCCTGTCTAAGTGGGTATCAACGAGCTCAAACTCGAGAACGTGAGAAGCTAGAAGACTGGAATTTTGAAGGGATGTTTTTGACAGTTCTGGCCGCCCAGTCTGAATTCTTTCAGCTAGAAGCATCTGCCGAAAAACCGAGGCTGGCAGCAACAAAAACTGCGGAGAACTCTGCAAAAAACGCATCTTCGCACGGGCAGCCCGTGCGTTGGCCATTTATTTAATAATAACAAATGTTTCGGTTGATTAAGTCGTTGCCGCAGTTGGACCTCGTCAGTACGACTTTTGTGGTAATTAGTATGAGTTTGATTAAAGTTTAAATTGTTTTGTTGGAATGGGATAGATAAAGTAATAAGTTAAAGGGGTGATAAAGAAAGAGAGTGATTAAGGTTGATATATAAAAAATCTTGCCGTAGAGAGGGGTTGTTGGATCCATTTTAGTTCCAGATAGATTTTTCTAGAGAGATACCTATAATATTATTTATTAATGTTATTAGTGTAAAATCTGGGTATTTATCTAAGAATTCATGTAGTATATCTATAGACTTTTTCACGCACCAGTATCTTTCATTTTGTCGGATTACTGAAGCCACATTTACAAATAGCTGCACAATTTCTGAATTTTGAGGGCCAGTAATTAACAAATCCCAACTACTGTTATCCCTTGCTATCTTGCTGCAGCATGAAATAGTGCAAAAACGCATGATTGCGCCGGCCTACCTGGTGCGTTCCAGCCTCGGTTTAAATTATAGCAACGATTTGAGAAGTATAGCTGAGGACAGCTGGGTGACGATATTTTTGTGTTGTATAATTGTGGGGGAACAAAGGGTGTTTCACGCATTATTCCAATTTCTTATCATATAAATTGAGTTACTTCCGAGTCCCATTGTCCTCATAAACAACAAAAACCGACATCCAATTGACTAGACGTCATTTCAAAAACAGAATCGCTAAAATGGTGCTGTGAAATCACAAGATGAGCAAAATCTTTCAATTCAGTGAGCAGCAGAGGCGAAGAGTTACCTGTATGATAGCATAAGTGCGAGGAATTATGTTATCCTGTAATTATTGCACATTCCGACGTTTCCAGGTGAACCCGGCGCGACTGCCAATTGTTGTTGGCGGATTATTGGATGTCGATTGCTCGGAGGATGCAATTAAACAGCTCATCATTAATACTAGGGGAAAATTTGATATCGACGAATTGGTGGAGGAGGTCGAAAAGCGAAATAGGTCTCCTCTTGCCTACTCATATCTTTGTGTTTTTATGCTTTTTTTTTTGCACCTGTGCAATGCAAAAACTTATATTGTCGAGGGGTTTGGCAACTTAATCTACACCTATGTACGAGCACCTCTCTGCAGGATGACTGTTTACGTTCACGTGTTTCTCACGTATGGGCATGTGTAAGTTTTTGGCGCAAAAATTACTAGCTCGGAAACCAGGAAAGTTGGGCGGTCGAAATGAAGGTTTCTCCGTCTAAGTACGAAATAAAGGTTTCAAATTCAGACCCCTAAGTACACGTGGGACTTGCTAGAGTTTAAATAGGTACCCTGCCAGCCTCGGCAGTTAAATTGACCAAGAAGTCGTAGAAGGTGTAATTTTTATAGCATTGCTTGCCGCCTACTGATGTGCGGTGAAAGTAAATTGAGCTTTCCAGTCTTTCTCCACCTCACATACGGACACTTGAGTTACTTCTGAGTGCTTTTGCTCTTATAAGCAACGAGAATCGACATCCAGTTAAGATGGCGTTATTTAACAGAATCGCCAAAATATTGCTATAAAATCACAAAGTGACAGAATTCTTTTAATCGGTGAAAAACAGAGGCGAATTACTTGTACCATAGCATAAGTGCGAGGAATCGTGAAATCTGACGTAACTCTGTAACCGAAACAGAGAGCAAAAATTTTCCGAGTATGGCCGAGGACCGTGTTTGAGCGACCGTACGTAAGAATTTTCACGTTTCCATCTCATGTACGAACACGTGAAATTTGACGTAGTTCCTCAACTGGAGCAGCTGCAGTACTGAAATTTTCTGAGAGCGTGCTTGGGTAAGCACACTTGAAAACATTATCCACTTTCTCCTTTGCGTACGAATGCGTGAAGTTCGACGTAACTCCGCAACCGAAGCATTTAGAGTATTGAATTTTTTTTTTTTTTTTGATCATGGATTGGGAGTCACTGTTAATAATTTCTGATAATCGTCATGGCCAGTCTTAATTCTTTTAGCTAGAAGCATCTGCTGATAAAATAGTGTCGTTAGCGACAAAAACCTGCGGGAAGAATTGTGCAAAAAACGCACCTTCGCATCGGCAGCCGGTGTGCTGGCCAATTTTTTAAATTTGGTTGCAGTGCAAATGCATTAAAAAGGAATGGCAATTGGCATAAAAAATGTCATTGGGTTTTTTAAAATGAAATTGTTGGACGCTTGTTGCATTAATGGAAGCAGAATTTTGCCTTTAAATGATGAGGTCATTTAGACTGAAACTGTTGGCGCCTTGGTTGGAAATGCGTATCCAGGAGGGAGCTACAGATCCGGCAACGCATAATGCTCTTGCAAAGATCTACATTGATGCCAATAATAATCCGGAGCGATTCCTCCGTGAAAATCCATACTATGATTCACGTGTTGTCGGGAAGTACTGCGAGAAAAGAGATCCGCATTTTGCTTGTCTTGCTTATGAGCGTGGCCAGTGTGATGCTGAACTCGTCAATGCAAGTTTTTGTTCTAAGTGATTTTCTAATTTTCTAAGTGGCTAAGTGATTTTCTGTGATTACTTTTGCCGTGCTGCAGTTTTGAACGTCTGTGATTACTGTCTCTGTTTTCTCGGAAGTTCTAAACCTGGGCTTCAGTATCATGAAGATTTATTTTTTAGAGAAGGTGCCGTTTAACATAATCTCTCATTAATTTTTTAGGTGTGTAATGAAAATTCATTGTTCAAAAATCTGGCGCGTTACTTGGTGAAACGCCGTGATTTTTCTCTTTGGGCCCAAGTGCTGGCTGAGGATAACCAGCACAGAAGACAGCTTATCGATCAAGTATGTGTTCATTTGTGATAAATAACTTAATGAAAAGTCAAGAAGCATAAAATTCGGTAGGATACTTTCTTAGTTTGATTAAGAGCGAGAAAGATGTATAAATTCGCCAGGTGCATTCAAGTCATTACCTTGTTGGTTTCATGGCAACTCAGCTGCGCCTGCTTCCTTCAGTTTTAGGCTGTCATCAATGAATGCTCGCGAATTCCATTATGGTCTATAAAAGCTCATTTTTCACTTGCTTTGTTATGTGTAAGCTTACTTTTCCAGGTTGTGCAAACAGCATTATCGGAAACACAAGATCCAGAAGATATCTCAGCAACAGTGAAAGCTTTCATGGCTGCAGATCTGCCGAATGAGTTGATTGAGCTTCTGGAAAAGATTGTTCTTGATAACTCTGTCTTTTCGGAGCACAGGTAGTTCCATTTTGAACACCACAAACCACGACCGATTCATTTTAATTTTAAAATGCATCTGTAGCAATAAATAGTGTGAGACGTAGCTTTTACTGCTTCTTTGGTGGTTACATAAGTAGTCTGTGCAATTAGTGATTACTGCGGAGAATAACAGTTGAGCCTTTCCAGCTTAGCTGTTATTTTCCGCATTCCAAATAAGAAGAGAATGTGACCCATGTGTCACTTAGCTTTCGAAAAAGTCATTGGTGACGCGCACCGGGTGGTCCCGTACGATCGTGCTTTTTTATGGCATTTCGTGCTGCTGTAAGATCGTTTGGAGTCCCAGTAGCTGGAATTTATGACATAATGGCCCTCGAAGCTCAGGTACTTAATTGTGCAACTACATAGCACTTGGCCAGGGAACATTCTCTCAAAATTTCCTAACTTTTCTGGTTCCTGAGTTGACGATTTTTTCGTCAAAACTTTTACGTGCTTGTACTCTGGGCCCAGACGTGCACGAGAGTTGGTACCGCGGTCCTGGGGTGGTACTTGGCCCGGGAGCTTGGTTGCCGAGTCGAAATACCTGGACAAACACACAGACACCGGACTCGTCGTAATATGCGTTTTTGTATTTGCTTGTATGCAAAATGCATAAAAAGGGAAGGAGGACAACCAGACAAGTGCCAAAATCATCTATGAGCTAATCACTAGATAAAACGACTGCTTCCGGAGAAGCCACAAACTTTTTGAGCAGCGCGAAAATGCGCAGCGCTGAGGCAAAAGCATTTTTTATGCGTTTTGTGCTGTGTAACAGCAGTACAAAACGCATATTGTTACGGGGTTGTCTG